TGTGTTCAAATCCTGGCTCTGCCACTTTCTGGTTGTGTGACTTCAGAAAGTTCCTTAACTTCTCTGAGCCTCAACTTTATATTTAAAATGAATATAATAACTAACATCTTTGGTGGTGGTAAAGGTTAAGTGAGATAATGTATGTAAGATATACCTAACACAGAGTAGACACTCGGCAGTTCCCTTTTACCACTTCCCTAGAGAATAATGTCCAAATTTTTACTATAGACTCCAAGGACTTTCATAGTCTTGCCCCTACTGGTTTTCCAGACTCAGCAACTAACACCCTCCCCTCTAAACTCCCTCCTTTCTTCGTCCTCTCCTTATTCTAACTTCTCTGTCTCCCACCTCATAAACTTCCACTCTTAAAACCGGGATTATGTTCTTTAACGAGCTAGCCCTTTATGAGGGTCTAACCAAGGGATGAGAAAGCAAGCCCCACGTCTGACCTCGATGATTAAGTCAGACACTGTACCTTATGACTACAATATGTGACTGTACTCTAACAGCCACCTTGGAGAGGGCTTCATCTCTTGCAACAGAAGACATTGTCAGCCTTTTCTCTTCTTGCAAAACTCTATTTGACTTTAAAACACACACATGCACACACTCACGCATCATGTTTCTCTTTCTTCTCTGGCCTCTTCTTTGTCTCTCTTGCTAGTTTTTCATCTTCTACTATGTTACCTGTTAATAGTTTTCAAGCATTAGGGACAGGGTGACAACTATGACAATCACAGGGTTGTCATGAGCATTTAATGTAATAACACAGCTACAACTCAGTTTTAGCTGATCATTGCTTTGGATAAATGTAGCCCAGTGTTGGCAATATTTTGATTTTTTTCAAGAGTACCTAGGTTTTTGTGTGAAATATCCTGATTTTTAAGGTTGGCAACAAGTTTGGAAGAAAAAGTGTACATACAGGAAAACATTCCTGAATTCACTCTTTGGCCCATAATTTTGCAACCTCTCTTCTAGGATATTTGGGTAGCACTGCAGGTAATTCTTGTGCACATCTTGGGGCTTACAAGGACTATACCTGTGGACTCATACTGACTGTATTCCAAGCATATGGCAGTGTCTGGCTTATAGAAGGGACACAATAAATATACATTGAATGAACAAGTTGCACAGACATAGTTAATTTTTATAGTTATATTTATTCACTGTTACTCAATCTAATGGTTGGCAAAACATTTTGGTTTCATTCTTAGACTAGTTCCTATTAAAGGTCTACTATTGGTGTTTCCCAGCTGTTAAGTACTGCTATTCTTATTACTTTGTTTCAAAATACTCTGGATGCATCCTGCTTGTGTCAGACATGGTCATCTCAGCCCAATTGCTTCATCATCCCTTTTATTTTCTGGCATCACCCTTTTCTACAATATAACATTCCCAGTGCAGGAACATGTTTTCACTGTATAAGGAATGATAAGACTAGTCCACCATGTCTCTCCACCATCGGAGCACTTTCCTTAAATTATATGGCATAATGAAGATGCTTGTTTCTAATACTTCATTCATTCATTCGAAGGTAAGTCACTGAAAAAAACAATTGGGACCATACCTGTGTGCTTGGTAAAAAGAAGAAAAGATAAATAAAATACAACCATTAATTTCAACGTGTTTACAGGCAAGTAAAACATGATAAAAGTATAGTGTATATGTTCTGTAAAGAGAAGGAAATACATAGGATAAACAGTATGGCCGTGGGGTTAAGAGCACTGGCTCTGGAGCATACTTCTCAGGTTCCAAGTTTGGCTTCACTACTTACCAGCTGTTTAAACAAGTTATTTAATAGCTTGAGGCTTGCTTTTCCATCTGTAAAATTAGGTGTAAGGTAATCTACCTTGTAGTGTTATGAAGTTTTAAATGAATTAATATGTGTAAAATGCTTACAATAGTGTCTGGTATAAAGTAAAAACTCAGTGAATGCTGTCACTATTACAGAAGGTGCACTGAACCCTTGTGTGGTTGCTATGTGGAGGTAGCCAAGTAAAGAGAAATAAAGTCAGGAAGATTTTCCTCAGGTAATTATCGATGTAAGTCTTGAAGATTAATTTCTCAACAAGGATTTATTGGGTATTTATTATGCACCATGCACTAGATAAATAAGTGTGAAGCAATAGGGGTTGGAAAATATAGAAGGAAAACTTCATCGACAGATTTAAAGTAATGGAGATGTGAGAGGTCAAGGTGAGGTCTTGGAAGTGCAAATACTTTAATGTGATGAGAATAGAGTGAGAGTTGAAATGAGGCAAGAGAAGAGAAGTGAAAGAAGTGGGGGGGGTGCGCACAGTGTCATTACAGGCAGCCTTATGTATCATACAATAGCATTTAAAACGTATTCCATAGACACAGGAGCTAGAGAAGGTTTTAAGCAGGGGAGTGAGATGATCAGATTTGTGTTCTTAAACCGTTACTCTGGTGATAATACTAATGAGAACAAACTTAATTTTTTTTAGGAAGTGAGAGCTTTTTTAAAACTCCTTGTAGGAGAGGGGTGGAATGGTTCACTGTGAAAACCAAAACTAATGGATTTTGAAATAAAAGCAATTACAAATTCAGAAGTGAAGGTGAGTTTTCTGTATGTACCCTATAAATAATACTTTGATTTGGAGCATGAGGTATTTATCACTAAAAGAAACACCTGACAATACATGAGGCACTCTGAGTGAAGTGACTCTATCCTTGCACTTCTGGCTCTATTGCATATCTTTTCTGTGTCTCATTCATTCATTTAACCAACAATTGTGTGTTGTACCAGACACTGTTGTAGGTACTTGGGATACAATAGTAAACAACACAAAAATTCCTGCCCTCCGAAACAGAGACAGATACTAAACATTAAACAAAATAACTACATGACATATGACAAAAAGGTAAGTTTTACTGAAATTTTAAAAAATGACAGAGCAAGGAAAGCTGGAATCATTCATTCATGATAGGAATCATAATAGCATTATTGCAACAAGAAGCAAAAAGAACTGCAAAGCCAGGCAGTGTAAAATTCAGATAAACTCTATGATGGGTGCAAAGTCCTGTCACTGTACATGAGTTTAAACACCCTGAAAAACTGTGTGTGTGTGTGTGCGTGCGTGTGTATATAATGTATACTTACATATATTAGCATGATTTATAAATACATGTTTGCATGATTTATATAATCATATACATATACATGCATGATTTATAAAGCCCATTTAAGCCTGCTTTAAACAATATAACGTGGATAAGGCTTAAAATGGGCTGGAACATTTTCCCCCATTACCTCCACAACATACAATTCCAGGGTTTGGTGGTGGTGGTGGTAGTGTGTGGGTGTGTGTATGTGCGTATTTCGGACAGCGTCTCCTGCTCAGAACAGAGCTAGCCACAGCCCTGTTCTACAACCTGTCTTGATAAAAGCCCAAGCCCAAGCCCACAGGAATCTCGATCTTTTTTTTTAATCACAAAAATAAATAAGCCCCCTTCAACAACCTAGTATCACAGACTGGTGTCCTTCATTACCAATTCGCCCTTTATGTAGTTCTGAGTCCAAGGGAAGAATGCCACCTACCGAATCATCCGCACCAGTCGGCCAGTCCTGCAAAGTGCAGTAACACTCAGCTCAACCCAGGTCGGCTCCAAATTCCCTCCCTGTGATTATTCTTTGGCCTTAAAATAATTTACCACTATTTGAGCTGACAGAAAATTATGCTCTCTGCGCAAAATATCTGATAAACACTTCCAAACCTTCTCTATAGCTATTCCAAATTTCAGAGCCCTCACTGCCTGCATTTTCCCTAACTGCGCTTTCACGTTTGGAACGCTCCCGTCTTTGCAGCCTGCAGATAGTGGAAAACGCTGGTGCAAATTGTGCAGGGGCTGCTGACAGGCGGCTGCAGAAGCCAGAGAGTCACCCGGACCGGCTAACGTTTGTGGGGAGGTGGGGGGGGGGGG